AGGAGGCCAAATCCGTAGTTCTAAACCGATCAATTGTCAAGGACCAATGCAAGATCTTTTGTCTTGTTGGTATACTAATATTTTTCCTCGTGAAGTGAGGCGATACCCTCAGAGCCAACCATTGAGAGGGAGCGAAAGGGCCAAAAAAACATGTCTGTAGCAGCAGCTCTGAGCCAAGGTTGACCCAACAGCTGATGGCACGGCACTATGGAGAGCTTGTATATTGTCTCAGTGGACTTCTTTTCTGGCCAAAGTCAAGACTTCATGTACTATCTGTCGAGGTGGCATAATGAGACCAGCAGCCAATTGTACTTCGAAGTCTGCCCGCGGCAGCTCAAGCCCAATGGGAATTGCTCCTTGCAAGGCGACAAGTTTATTGCAAGTCCCGCTTCCTCTTCATGCTGTTGGATCAGCCATCAAGCTCCTGTGTCTGCCCTTTTCCCAAAATCTGAAAGGACCGCGTTTAACCTGGCGATACGATTCTCGAGCTCTTCAATCTCATTCTCCTGCTCAGCGACGGAGCGACCGATGTCAGGAAGGCTTTCAACAACCGCGCGTGCCTTTTGTATGCGAATCTTGATCGAGCTTGCCTCTGTCGGCAAATCCTTCGCAGTCAATGGCGCAAGTCCACTCCCCGTTGCCGAAGTCTGTTGCTGAACACCTTGGCCCGGACCCGACGACCCTGATGGCGCTTCTCCGCCTGCTTCACCAGCAGTTCTTGGACCGCCTTCGCCAGCTGTTTGTGCCGAAAGAAGACGCAGAAGAAGACCATGCAACGGAGGAATTATGTCGAATGTCTGCGGCGGAGGGAAAGGAACTGGTTGTGGTGCTGTGTTCGTGGACTCCCCTACCATAGGGGTCTCGGGCGCAGATGACAGTTTCCGCAGCGGAGTGGCCGCGGTCGGTGACCTGGACGCCATTGCGCAAAATCCAGACTAAGGAATCTGGTATACAGCTTGGAAACGTTTCGATTATCAATATGATAATCCCTGTGTCCAATGGGTAATATTATTAATGGAGTTTATAGGGAAGAGTCGGAACGAGTCCAAGGCGGACGAGAACGCACGGGGAAAGAAGGTCAACTAAGGGAGAAGCGTGACGTCGGAGAAAGAGAAGGAAAAGTCCAAAAGCGTCACCGGGAAGAAGCCCCTCCCCCTCCATAGTAGTAATTATCATCCTGATAGCGACAGCAATTGTTTTTCACCGGCCAGCCAATTCTTTTCTCTCTCTCTCTCTCTCTCTTTCTCTTTCTTCCATCCAGTCAATTCTCCTAACGTCAAATAATCTCTTCCTTTCTGTGAGTTATATCGAATTATCCTCACTCATTTCCACCCCATCAAAATTGGTCGTTAAATTCAGTCAATTAACTAACTCTCAGACTAGGTTCACAATGACCAAGGTTGACCAAAAAGTCGTTCTGAGTAAGCTCTCCACGATAGTGTGCTACATCAAGTCGGTCGCTAATGTTGAATAGTCGTCATCGACGGCTGGGGTATCCCAGGCCCCGACTCTCCCAAGGACGGAGATGCGATCGCTGCCGCGGAGACACCCTACATGTCCGGCTTTGCCGAAGAGAACTCGAAGACGGCTCAAGGATATACCGAGCTGGATGCCTCGTCGCTGGCCGTCGGTCTGCCAGAGGGTTTGATGGGCAACAGTGAGGTTGGCCATCTGAACATTGGTGCTGGCCGTGTCGTCTGGCAGGACAGCGTTCGCATCGATCAGACCCTCAAGAAGGGTGAATTGAAGAAGGTCGACAACATTGTCAAGTCCTTTACTCGCGCCAAGGAGGGCAATGGTCGTTTGCACCTGCTGGGTCTGGTCTCCGATGGCGGTGTTCACTCCAACATCACTCACCTGGTCGGTCTGTTGAAGGTCGCCAAGGAGATGGAGATCCCTCAGATCTTCATTCACTTCTTCGGTGACGGCCGTGATACCGACCCCAAGAGCGCTACCAAGTACATGCAGGACTTGCTCGATCACACCAAGGAGATTGGCATCGGTGAGATCGCCACGGTAGTTGGCCGCTACTACGCTATGGACCGCGACAAGCGTTGGGACAGAGTCGAAGTTGCCATGAAGGGTATTGTCTGCGGTGAGGGCGAAGAGAGCTCTGATCCCGTCAAGACTATCAAGGAGCGCTATGAGAAGGGTGAGAACGATGAGTTCCTCAAGCCCATCATTGTTGGCGGCAAGGAAAGGCGCGTGCAGGGTATGTTTCTATGGAAATCGGAGAACAGCTCGTTCGAAAACTGACCGTGTCTTGCAGACAATGATACCCTCTTCTTCTTCAACTACCGTTCGGACCGTGTCCGTGAGATCACCCAGCTGCTGGGCGACTATGACCGCTCTCCCAAGCCCGACTTCCCTTACCCCAAGAACATCCACATCACCACCATGACCCAGTACAAGACCGACTACACCTTCCCCGTTGCCTTCCCCCCTCAGCACATGGGCAATGTGCTGGCCGAGTGGCTCAGCAAGAAGGACATCCAGCAGTGCCACGTCGCCGAGACCGAAAAGTACGCGCACGTCACTTTCTTCTTCAACGGAGGTATCGAGAAGCAGTTCCCTGGCGAGGTGCGCGATATGATCCCCTCACCCAAGGTTCCTACCTACGACCATGAGCCCGAGATGAGCGCCGAAGCCGTCGGCAAGAAGATGGCCGAGCGCATCGCCGAGGGAAAGTTCGAGTTCATCATGAACAACTTCGCTCCTCCCGACATGGTCGGTCACACCGGTGTGTACGAGGCCGCCATCAAGGGTGTTGCCGCCACCGACAAGGCCATTGGTGAAATCTACGAGGCTTGCAAGAAGCACGGATACGTTCTGTTCATCACCGCCGATCACGGGTAGGTTGTGGTTGTTTCCGTCTTTGACTTTATCTTCCAGGCTAACATATCTGCTTCCCAGTAACGCGGAGGAGATGCTCAACGAGAAGGGCACTCCCAAGACCTCCCACACAACCAACAAGGTTCCCTTCGTCCTTGCCAACGCCCCCGAGGGCTGGAGCCTCAAAAAGGAGGAGGGTGTCCTCGGAGACGTTGCACCCACCGTCCTCGCCGCCATGGGCATCGAACAGCCGGAGGAGATGTCGGGTAAAAGTCTTCTGGTCAAGGCCTAGATCAATTATATATAGAATTTTTTCCTTTCTGTTTAGAAAAGGCTATTTCCAGCTGGTTATGGATCTATGAATCAAGATACTTCGTTTCTTTTTTACACACAGAGACCGAATCTCAGAACGCCAAATGCGCCGGGTTCCAAGACATTCCGGAACCTCCCATGCTGGTTCTACCTTCATCATCATTGGGTTGTCTTAGCGCAAGTAGAAGAGATCCATGCAACAACCAGATCTCTAGAATAGGATGAGAAAAAGGAGCAAGAAAAAGAATTAAGGAAAAATCCCCATTTTAAACCCATGAAAACCCACTTCATGCGGCCTGCTCGAAACCCCGTCTGATCACACGGCCGAACATCTCCACACCCACGCGCTCGCTCTTGACCTCGCTGCGTGCCTCGTTCTCCTTGTTCGTGGGCACCTTGACAACAGTCCCGTTGGGACCAGCCTTGTCCACCTCCCAGCTGCAGACCTCGGTGACGAACTTCTCGAGCGCCTCGCGGCTGCGCAGGTCAAGCCACTGCTCCAACACCTCGGCGTTGATCTCCCGGAAGGCCTTGCCCACCTCGATGGCGATACGGATGCGCACGAGCTCCTCGAAGCCGGCGACGTCGGCGACCAGGTCCGCGTACAGGTCATCGGAGTTCAGAGTCGACCAGAACTGGGCGTACTGGGCGGACTCGAGGAGGGTGGACAGGCGGGCGAGCTTCTGGATGGATTCGACGAAGTCGGAGGACTGGGAGGCGTCGGTGTCGGCGGTGGGGAAGGGCTGGGTGTGGGCGGGAAGGAGGGCAAGGCAGAGGGAGAAGGCGGGCGAGGGGAAGACGGTGAGGGCCTTGGTGAGGATGTTGGTGACGGTTTCGGGCTGGAGGAGGTGAGGGTTGAATTGGTAGCTGTTATGACATCTTGTCAGTAACGGAAGTATATGACTAAGTCAGGCGATAAAGCTAGCTGAATGGGACAGTTTTTTGCTTTCAGAATATATTGCTTTTTCTCGACATTCATCCCAGGGGGATGTCAGGTAATAGGAAACGTGATTATGAAGAAAAACAAGGTAGTTCATCATTCGTCCCATGCGATCTGAACACCCCCGCGATGAGGAATCCAGGACAAGCGCGGTGTTTGGCAACAACAAGAGATAGACTCACAGCTTCAGCAGAGCCAGGTTGGCGTAGCAGTCGAATGTGCGCTCTTCGCATTGCTGGACAACATAGTCTTGGAATACTGTGGTGGTCTCGGGGTTGTATCTGTCCAGGCCGTTGAGGATGGCGTCGATATGCGCCGGCCGCGTATCACACTTGTCAAAAGCGACACCCATTTTGTTAAATCGTCGTGTGCAGGTATGGAGAAGGAGGAGATGAGGAGGTTCAGCTGGCACAGACGGCGGCAATGAAGGCGGGTTTATCGTGATGGCTACCTATAGCGGGATGTTCTTTTTTTGGTGGGTTTTTTGGGATGTCTGTTCTGCTGTGCGGCGGTCGACCGGAAGAACCACCCAGAAACGTATAGTTTCTCCGACCGGTCCTCACTACCCCGTTTCCCGGAGTATATTCGGGAGAACAACCAACTTAAGCCTCATGTTGTCGAGTTTGGGATATGGTTTGGTTGATCATGTCTTACCCCGCAGGTTGATGATGAAAGACCGATGCTTGGTTCCCCAATTGATGCGGCGTTATTCTCGGTCATGCTCTCTAGTTCAGAATGATATGCGTCCGCTTCACGTTCCTCTTTGGCCGAAGGATATGCGGTGCCCAGGGCTATATATGGAGGCTCTCTCCTTTGACTTTATGAACGTTGCTAGGTTGGATCTTGTGTCATTGGCAAGGGAATTGTCCTAGTTTAGGTATACGACACATTACAATTGGAAAATCTGTCTCAAATCATGCGACTTCTTCTCAGTCAACCGTTTCACTGGCTTTTGGCTTTGGCAGCGACGGCTTCTGCGTCGTCGTCTGTCGATTACACCCAGTATGTAAATGCTCTAATGGGGTCAGAAGGCCCTTTTCCGGGCAAAGGCTACGGAGGAGGCGACATCTTTGTTGGGGGTGCGCGGCCCTTTGGCATGGTCAAAATGGGAATAGACACGACGGCCGCAAACTGGAGCATTGCGGTGCTGAACGGCGGGTGGACGCCTGATGGCAATGTGACCGCGATCAGTATGTGATTTGCTCGAAGTCCGGTGGTCATTCTTTTCTGACATGCCCAGCCATGATGCATGAAAGCGGGACAGGAGGTTCTCCGAAATATGGGCTCATTTCGCAGATGCCTTTGACAAGTGTGGCGCCTCATGTCAATATCCTGGACAATCTCACGTACAGTCAGCCCAGGGTCGGTCAAGATACGGCCAGTGTAGGCTATTACAAGACCCAGCTGCAGAACGATGTTCAGGTAGAGCTTTCTGCTTCCAGTCACTCCGGTATTGTTCACTACTCGTTTCCTCAGGGCGAGAAGCATGTGCTTGTGGATGTCTCTCACTATCTGCCCGCTAAGCCTGGAGCCACGAATGGCCAGTACTATGTTGGCGGAGAGATCAAAGTCGAAGACCACGGTAGGGCTTACAGCGGATATGGGACGTACATGGGCGGATGGAACAATGGAGCTCCCTTCACGGTCTTCTTTTATGGAGAATTTTCCGAAAAGCCTACAATGGCTCGGACCTTCACTGGAACAAATACAGAGCCCATACCGCGATACCAGACTTTCGTTGGTGATATAGGAGAGCCAATATACGGTAACATATCGGATAAGGCAGCATCGGGGCCTATGAATGAGCGTGTTGGCGCTCTTTTCAGCTGGGATGAGAAGGCAAAACCAGGGATCACCTCACGGATTGGTATCTCGTTGATATCATCCGACAGGGCTCGGTCGTATATCAGGTCCGAGATTCCCTCGTGGAGACTCAACGACACCGTCAAAGACGCCGTTGAGCAATGGAATAAGGAGGTCCTCGGCAAGATCCAGGTGCCCCTTGACAGGACTGCAAACATGACCCACGTGCGGCTGCTCTACAGCTCGCTGTATTTCATGCATCTGATGCCCTCTAACCGGACTGGGGAGAATCCGCTCTGGCAGTCGGAGGAGCCGTTATGGGATGACTTTTATACTATGTGTTAGTACCCATGGAAGCTCCGCTCTCTGACGATTATGTACTGACTTGTTTTAGGGGACATCTTCCGCTGCACGGTGAGCTTCTATCATATCTTCCAGCCTACCTATTACGAATCCATGATCCGTGGTCTCATTGACATATGGAGGTAAGGCCACCCGAAGAGACTGTATTTCTGAGTTGACCATAGGTACAGACATCAAGGCTTCCTACCTGACGGGCGCTCGGGCAACTATAACGGACTGGTACAAGGCGGTTCTAATGCCGACAATGTCCTTGCCGATGCGTACGTCAAGGGATTGCGTGGCGCAATTAACTGGACAGACGGGTACGCAGCGATGAAGTCGGACGCTGAAGTCATCCCGTACAATACCTTTGATCCTAAGGATCTATCTGCGAGCACCAAGGAGGGCCGAGGGGCTTTGGGAGATTGGCTTGAACTGGGCTATGTCTCTCAGGATCGAAACACACGCTGCATCTCGCGGACTGTCGAGTACAGTCTCAATGACTTTGCCTTGAGCCAGGTAGCCAGCGGGGAGATGCCCGGTGATCGCGAAAAGTATCTGAATAGGTCAGCGGGATGGCAGAAGCTCTGGAATCCGGAAGTGGAGAGCTTGAACTTCACTGGGTTTCTAGCCCCGAAGTTTTCGAACGGTACGTTCAACAATAGCGGATATGACCCAATGTATTGTTACGAGTGCGAGTGGCAATCGTATAGCTATGAAGGCGTACCATGGGGTAAGTCTACCTAGTATCCCGTCCTGAGTTTTATACTGACTATGGCTACAGAGTACTCTTTCGTCATTTTGCACGACATGGAGACTTTGATCGACTTTATGGGCGGTCCAGAGACTTTTGAAGCCTGGCTAGACACTATGGTAGGCACGGGTTGAGTAGATTGCTTGGGGATTGTGCTGATGTTGCGTAGTTCAAACCCAACCTGTCAGTTCAGAATCTTGGTGCAAACGGCGCGGGCATAACAAGTCTGATGAATATTGGGTATATGCTACCATTGATCAACCGGGCAAACAGCTGACATGAGGCAGGAACGAGCCCGATTTCGCAACGCCGTATCTCTACAACTATATCAACAAACAAGCGAAGAGCGTTCAAATGTCCCGTAGCCTGGGACTGCAATAGTAAGCGAATCGCATTGTTCGATCTACTCGACAGCAGCTGACCATATTGAAATGCAGCTTCAAGGATGCTCCCTACGGAGTGCCAGGAAACAGCGATGCAGGCGCCATGAACTCCTGGCTCGTGTGGCAGATGCTTGGCATCTACCCCGTGGTCACCCAACCGGTCTACCTGATCTCATCGCCCTGGTTCCCTGATCTGAACATGACGGTCAACGGGAACCAGACACTGAGGATTAAAGCGACGGGATTAGACCAGGGCTATTATGTGCAAAGCGTCAAGATCAATGGGAAAGAGTGGACAAAGAACTGGTTCGAGCATGACGATCTCATGGTCCAGGGCGGGACTATTGAGTTTGAATTAGGTTCTGAGATGAAGAACTGGGAGACGGGTAGCGTGCCACCGTCGCCAGGACATGTGCAGTTGTAAGCTGCCGTGCGATTGCGTGTATGAGATTTGTCTCCTTAGGGCTGGCTCACATGACCTCGCCTGACCTTTCATAGAGCCAGAAGGGTCCACACTCCTTACCTGTCATTAGACTACCACTCATAGGAAGTTATAATAACAGCTGCTTTGAGAATGAAATCTGCTCCCGTCGCGGCATCCGCTCGGCTGTCATCATAGAGGTGGGGAGGTCAGTATCAGCGAAGCCTTTTCTCACAGGGCTTCGTATGTTCGCTTCTAGATGTGGTCACAATTGTCCAATCATAATCGTATACCTGTAATAGTAAGAGGGAATTACACCGCAGCAGAGGGGTTCTGCTTGATTAGATAATGAAAGGAAAGCCAGCCTGTTGAGTCTGTCGCTCGATCGTATTGTGTGATGGATTGCGTCACTGGCGCGGTGAATGGTTTTAGTGTCCGATCCTTCGAGGGGAGTAGAGTCATCACATGCATCGAGATTCGCGTCTCGGCATTGGAGAGAGGAAATCAAAGATCAAAGCAGGTACGCGATTAAGACCTAATGCTCTGGCAGTAGTTTAATGCAATGCAGAACAGACCATTTGACGATACTCTTCTCCGACTGCGAGTGATAGCAGAATCGACAGGAGAGCCGAGAGCCCCTCTCCATGTGAGAGACGGTAAGACAAAGAGCCAGTCTTCCACGCCAATTCCAAGCCAAATCGACCAATGCTCACGCTCATTGGTAGCCGTAGCCGGGGGATTTCCCAGTTTCAAGATCCGGTGCGGGCTAAAAGGTACATGGAAGATGGAGATCGCTTCTTTTTCCCGCTTGTCCAGGAAGACGTGCGATTGACGTCAGCGCGGGACAGTCAGATATTTGAACGATGGGGTATCATCCATCCCATCCCATCTTATATTCAGTTCATTCAGTGGTCGTTCGACTCTTCCTCTCCTTGAGGTGTCTGTCTCTCGTTTCTTTGAGTTGAGAGCCAATCTCAGCTCACTCGCTTCAAGATCCTCGGCCTCGGCATCTAGACTATACGGCGCCATCCCGACGCTTATAGAGGAAAGTCATCGAGTGGATCATTCTCGCCTCCATATTTGATATTTGATATCAGATATCGAAATTCCTAACATGGTAAGTGGTTTGCCTCGTCATCTCTGGATCACTCCGCAACGGCCCGAGTTACGGAACCATGGATGCAGCCTCGCTGACACCTCACATAGGCACCTGTCGTGTCCAACATCCTCCAAGCCCGGCAATCCACCTCCTCATCCGACAGCTGCAATTGCCCCGACAGCATCTCAGGCGGTGGCATTGCAGGAATTGTCATCGGCTCCATCGTCGGCACCCTGCTGCTTATCTGGCTCTTCCGGGTCTGCTCATTGCCTGGCGCTTGGGGCGGTGGGGAACCCGATTATGGATACAGCGGGGGAGGAGGGACGGAGGTGCGCTCGACGCATCGTCGAAGCCGGAGCAGTCCGTCTTATGTGGAATATGTCGATAAGCCGAGCCGTTCGCGGAGATATCGGGAGGACATTCGGCGGCCGGCCAAGGTGTATCTGAATTAGGAGTATAGCAGGTGTTTCGGCATCTGTTTGCGGCGATCTGGTATGATTGTATGTGTAATGATAATGAGGGATGATCTTGTCATGAGATGATGAGAAGATGGATAGGATATGATATGGATTACTGGGATTGGAGTTGGGATTGATTTTAATGAACTGATGTGTTGTAGTACAAGTGTCTATGGTGAACTCTCTGTCATACTGTGTAAAATGCAATATATATTAAGGTCATTTGTTTGATATATATTGGCCCATGGTTCTTGACGGCATTCAATTCCAGGCATTAAGTGGACCGTGGCTATTAAGAAGAGAACCCCTATTGCATACGGAACATGAGATCTATGCTGAACATCTCCTGAACTATTGACAGAATGGATCCCTTCTAAATATATCCCTTGAATTTGTGATAGCCACCATCGTCACATTACACGATTTACATATAAAAACTATCTAATTTAGGTAGGATTCTAGGAACATGACTCGAGCGTGGAGCCAAGCACAGACTCAACTCGCATTCACCAGAAATGGGACAGTCCACAGACTATGAGATCAATCAATTTACCCTAGACAGAGATCTCTAGGCATCATCATTAATATTCTGGGCAGTTACCAGTTCAAGTGTTGCTCCCTAATCGTACATCACAAACACCATACAGTTAGGTCCTTACCTAGGCAAATAACAAACACCACTTTTACCTACTTGGCAGGGTTTAGCCTGCTCCATCTCCAGCAGTAGTAATATCAGCCAATCATTACGCCGGAGAGGAGAGAAAACCCAAAGCGTATTAGACCATGCCGCATTCGGCAAGGCCCAGGAACAATTTGCGGACAACGAACAAAGCTACTTACCGAACTAGGCTAGCGGTGCAGGGTAACTTACCTCAAAACGGACTAGATCTTCATTCGGCCCCACTGTCCAAGAGCAGCTGTTGGTCAATTGGGGTCAGGTTTTACCCCTGAAACCAGCTTAAGGAACAAAAGTATTTTTCATAGTACCACACAAGATAGCTACACTGCTGGCTGCAGTCTGCAGTCTGAGTCTGAGTCCTGCAGAAATGATAACTAGTGCAGATGAGACTCGCCAAGTTGCCGGACTCTGCGGCAGGAGGAAAGTGGCTGAATGCTAATAAAATTAGTCCCGTCCGTTTCTAATATACTAACCGACTAGTCTTCTGGTCATGCCCGTCTCCGGTCTTTCTCTCCTCTGTTCGTCTCAGATTCCCCCTCCGGATCCTGTCGTTCTCTTCCTTTCTGCTCTACCCCGTATAGTGTTCTTCTACTTGCGGGTGGGCTGAAGACTCCTCGTGCGACTCGATCGCACGTCCATTCCTTCATCCGGATTCTGTCGCTCTTTACTGTCCTCGGACTTCCACATAAATCCCCCCAAGTCTCGTCGAGCTTCTGCTGAAGCATATACGTTCGGGCCTGTTTGGCTGCCTTTCACTTTACATAGGATCTACATACTTTGATCATCACCGACCGATCTAGAGAGGGATCCTTTCTAAGGACCCATCATGTCGTTCCTTTACCTCGTTGCCCTCTTTGTGGCCAGCATCTGTTCGGTGACCGCTCAGACATGGACCTCGTGCAACCCTCTGAAGACGACCTGTCCGCCCGATCAAGCCCTGGGTATGAACACTACATTCACTTTCAACAAGACTCTCGACGATACCATCTGGAACATCACCAATGGAGCCCTGTCGCACACCGACGAAGGAACCCAATTTACCATCACAGGAGAGAACCAGTCGCCCACGTTGCAGTCAAACTTTTACATCTTCTTCGGTATTGTCGAGTCCCACGTCAAGATGGCCAAGGGCGCCGGTATTATCAGCAGTATTGTGCTGCAGTCGAACGACCTGGATGAGATTGACTGGGAATGGGTGGGTTACAACACCAGCGAGGTCCAGTCCAACTATTTCGGCAAGGGCAACAATGAGACCTTCAACCGCGGCGGCTACCACTATGTCCCCAATGCCGACACGGAATTCCACAACTACACCACTTACTGGACCAAAGAGAAGCTGGAGTGGTGGATTGACGGCAATCTCGTCCGGACCTTGACATACGAAGATTCCCAGGGGGCCGGCCAGTATTACCCGCAGACTCCTTGCAACCTTCGTTATGGCATCTGGCCTGCTGGTATCGAAGGGAATGCGAAGGGCACGATCGAATGGGCTGGTGGTCTGGTGGACTACTCAAAAGCTCCTTTTACCATGGTCCTCCAGAGCGTCCGGGTGCATGATTTCCACACCGGCAAGGAGTATAACTACACCGATCACTCTGGATCCTGGCAGAGCATCGATGTCATCACGTAAGTTTGCCGCTGTTGTTGACAAATACATGCTAACAACAGATATACAGGGGCAACTCCACCGTCGCCAATGCCATCCAAAACCCACCAAAATCCTTGTCCGAGAAGTGGGCCGAACTCCCGACAGGAGCCAAGGCCGGTGTATACATCGGGGCCGGATGCGTTGGCGCCGCCTTGCTCGCCGGGTTCATCTTCTTCTTCATCGCACAGCGCAAGAAGGGCCGTCTCGAGCACGCGCTCGAGGATGCCAAGTGGGCCAATGAACGCACCGAAATGAGCACTTTCCAGAACGATTGGAAGCAGAGCGAGTGGAAACACAAGGGATACCAGCCGGTCAACTAGCCCTGCGTTGCAACTGTCTCGTCTTCGGTTCCCTAAGCAAGGGATGTCCCATGTCCCCACCTTAATGCTCTTTTTGCCGCTGGCGTTTCAGAGACCTGCGTTTATCCCGTGCTGCTTTGCTGGTCAAACCGCGCGGTGGTGTCGCAGAGCTCGGGGTTGGGCGTCGTTTGGTAGTAGATGTCTTTCACCTACTCGTTTCCTGATCTCCTCATGTCCATATCTCGTGTCAGACCGCTAACTTTTCTTGTCATTTGATCGTCTCGGCTTTGTCCCAGCTTTGTATTCGTATATACCAATGTGCATCTTTGAATTGTTATTTCGCTCAACTCAAGTATAGCATGATTGACTGTCTGCCATCGTGCAGATCTGTCATAGACCACTGAACCAAGCCCATGAACATCATGGATAGCGTCGTAGAGCAGAGTCATGATAGCCACTGGTACAAGATTACAACCACCTCTTCTCATCCGACCCCAGAGACTTAGGCATAACATCCCACCCCACCTCGACCCCCTCCACCGCAGCCGAATGCCTCACAAACGTCATCTCCCCAAACCCCGTCTGCCTCGTCTCCAGGTATCCTTCTGGCACATCCGCCAGACACATATAATCCCGCCCCTCGTCGAACCCCGTTCTCCCCTCATGCTGCCCCAGCGAACGCAGATACTTCATCACCCCCGCCAACGACACATCCACAACCCACGATCCCCCTTCAGTAGCCTGCCGATACACCGCCGCCTCAACCCCCGCCGCAAGGAAATACCCCGCCGCATGATCCAGCACCTGGCACGGCGCCGCG